CTCCAGTATCTACTAGAAACATAACTGAGTTGAACGATCAGCCAGTACTATTCTGTCGATGTGGCGGACATTCTGTTGGCCAGCAGAAGACCGCCCATTTAGTTTCCCGCTTGTACAAAAGTGCATGGAGGGGCACACTTGCGAGCTTGAGAGCCAAAATTCATATGATAAAAACATATGCCACTTGTGGGTTCTTTGTACTGCGTTCGAGTATTGTGACGAGATTGACTCCTGCTTCGGGCACGAAATTTATTACGTGGGCCCTGATTTGATCGATTGTATCTCCGTGAAGCATGAAGACTTGTAGAGAGTTCAGATACTTTTTTGGTCAATTCAGCCACTTGTTGTTCGAGGGATGAACTGGAAGGTGCAGCATTAGCAGCACTGACATAAGCTGGAGTAACAAGTTCATTAATTTTGTCAGCCATTGCTGCTAAACGGGTTAGATCTTCATTGGAAGCAGCAAGAATTATTTGTATGTTATTAGGGAGACGCGAAAGCCATAGTGACTTCAACAAGTCGTCACTAAAATGGCTTCCTGCCAGATCACGCATTCGTGACAGCAAGTATGAAGGTCGCTGATCTCCAAGTTCAAGTCCTTGTAGTAAAGTACGTATTTTTGAAGATTCACTTTCTGAATAGATTTCAATGAGCCGCTGTTTCAGTTTGGAGTATTTATCACAATCAGGTGGTTTGAGAATTAAGTCATGCACTGAATTCAGAATATCAGACTCAATTGCTGCAACTACATGGTTGAATTTTGTAGAATCCTCACTAATGCGAGCGATAGAAAATTGTGCTTCGATCTGAGCGAACCACAATGAAGGATTATTTTTCCAGAAAGGCGGTGGCTTCACCGCAACGCGTGTGATTTGTGGCTCTGGTGGAATATCGTCGGGCATACTGATAGATAATTTTCACTTTAATTAATAAACACTTAACAGCACAAATATTGTAGCATGAGGATACACTATTGATATTTTACCATGATAACAATAAATATTTTAACCATGCAGAAAAAATTTACGTAACGATACACACACAAATAATACAGGGTCAACAATTACACACACATATAATATTTTACCGAAATGCATTTGAAAAGAAACCCTTATTTGAGAAAAAAAATGATGCGTTCATTTTGTATTGCGCACACACAAAATCACCACTTCACACTGCTAAGGCACTTTCGAAGGAAAATGGAAATCACTCCTGTAGCACATTGGGAAAAAATTCACTACTTTCGAACACTGAGGGAAGAATTTTGCCGTAGCACGTTGCAGAAAAATTACTGATGTAGCACATTTAGCGAAAATCACTATTGTATCACATTTATCACAAAAGTTGAATGATCGAAGAATTATTGCACGACTGGCGAAGTCAGCGGAACGGAACAGATCACATTGATGATTTGCTGAAGCTCCTTGCGATGATATGTACGACTTTGAAAAAAAAACACAAGCAATATATATCAATACATCTAGAAATAATTGAAGGGGTACGTTGTAGCATACGTTTAATGTCCATATTCGTTGTTATTTTTAGTCAGTTCTTCAGAATGCCTTGGATGCACGTGGCTTAGGGTCGTTGAAAATCCATTGTCAGTAGCGTGCTCAGTCAAAAGGTCACCACTTTTGGTGGTCGTGTGTGCTTAATGCATGATATAACTAAAGGAAATAAGAGTAGACAATCTCCTATAACAAAAGAATATATTAAGTCTAAAACAAAATAGGGCGCCTTTAGAAAAAGAAGATTTAGCAATTGCATACTCTCCGCATTGATATTAGTAGGATTTAAAGTACTCCGTAAAGTAAATAATAAGATAATTAAACAACCAAACTTATATCAGCAAAGACCCTCTAGTTAAGTTCGCGGATCGAAACTTCCCTATGGATGGAAAACCGATTCAATCCCTCCCAACCACCAAACGCAATTCTTGACCAAACAAGAGTGCGATGGAGAGTCAAATAAATAAATAAATAAGGAGGGCAGAGGTGCATTCTCAAGCCAAATGGCCAGGTAGTGTATAAAGATTTGATATCATTATATTCCAAAACACAGCTATGAGAGGGAAATCCCTGCATAGTTTCTTTTCAAAAAAAAAAAAAAAAAAAAAAAAAAAGAACTCACAGGGCATCTCAAAGCTTGTTTCTTGTGGTTCCATATTCACCTTACCTGTAGGTGTTTAGTATACATCAGAAACCCTATTATGCCAGAGAGCCCTTTGTATAAAAGGCTTGATCAAAGGTAATATAGGGAAATCCAAGGAATTTGTTTCTATAGGGACAGAAAACACCGGACATCGTCCCAAAAAGTGAAAAGATGTTTCCCTCTTCTTCTCCACAAGCTGGGGCAGAGAGGAGATTCAACAAGACCACATTTGTGGAGATGCTTAGCTAGATAAGCATGTCCAGTAACAATTTGAATTACCTGGCGTAAGTTAGTTCTACTGAGGTGTATGAGTTTACCTGAAAAGTTAAGTGTACTGAGCACCAATTTAGAATGAGCACAGTCTGGAAGTTTAAACCATATATCATCATGTTTGTTCTTTATCCAGCTTCTTACTTCTTTTTTAACCGTTTGATATGAAACTGGGTAAAATGGTTCTGGGCCAGACATGGGGAGTTGCGAAGCATCTTTAGCTACTTTATCAGCTAGTTCATTTCCAGATATTAAGTACTAAATTACAATTTAAATTACATTGCAGAGATCAACACAGAGCTCGGAACACAGTTCGTGCTAGCGTCGCGTACACTTGTCCGACGAGAAGTCTGAGTGAGTAAAGATGTCGCTTTGCTGCTCCGATTAAGAACTGGATTTTACACGTGGCGCCATCTCATGAATAGAAGTTGAAGTATCTGTCGGAACGCTACATGTATATTGACAATAATATCATTACATAAAGAGGTATTTTTAAGAGATTCCAGGGAAGAGAGTGAATCCGTACAGATTAAGTAGCTGGAACCACTTCCATTCTGGCTAATTATCCACTTAATTGCAAAATTAATACACAGAAACTCAGAAATATATACAGTACATTCATTTCTAATGCGAAATTGGTGACACTCAATTTCAATATCATCTTCAAAAATAACATAAGCAAAACCAACTTTATCATCAATCCTACTACCATCCGTATACAGCACAAATGAGAATGAATTAACATCACTGTCCGTACTATCCAGAATCTGTACTGGTTGTCTGACAGAAGGATGTGGTAGAACAGACAAGGGCAATAAATGATCAAAGTGAGAATTGGAGTAATTTGCAAGACTATTCTTGTAATCTATAAAAATCAGAATAAACAAATTCAGTGGTGGAAATCCCGCAAGAGAGAAAACAGCATTGTAACTAATAGTTCGGTAACCGCTTATAACTCGCAGCAAAATTCGTCTTTGAACTCGAAGCAGGCGTTTAGAGTTAATTTTCTTTTTTAGAGACAATCCCCAAGCTCTACATCCATATGAAATAAGGGGTACAATGCCTTGTTTATAAATAATTGCGCTAACATTCGATTTAACACCAAAACTATTACAAGCAATTCGATTCAGCCCACGCTGAAGTCTCTCACATTTATTAGAAATGTAGGAAATATGCTTTTTCCAGTTAAATTTGCTGTCCAACAAAACACCTAGATATTTAATTTCATTCACCCTCTCAAAGGGATTGTCATTTAAGCAATTGATATCCTTCATAAGTAGTATTTTTTCTATCAATAAACATGGTCTTGGATTTTGCATGGTTAAACTTTAACTTAAAATCTATTGACCAATGATAAATGAAATCTATAACATCTTGGGCAAGACGAAAAGCTTTTTGCAATTCTTTTCCTTGAATACAAATGAATAAATCATCTGCAAAGGCAATGACTTCACAACTGAAGAGATCAGAAAGTTTCTGTAAGAGATCATTCATAATAATAATCCAAAGCTTGGGACCGGAAACAGAACCTTGTGGACAACCTCTTTGAGGTCGACGAACACTTGAGGTGCCACCCAAAGAAAGCTCGACCGTCCTGTCTTTCAGCAAATCAGAAACAACATTAAACACATTTTGAGGTATCTTCATTTCTTTTAGTAAATTAAGAAAAGCAGGCCACCATGCATTATCAAAAGCTCCTTCAATATCAAGAAAAATTAAAATAGTGTACAAACCTCTCATCTTACCCCTCTGTAAAATATCGGAAAGAAACTTCCTCCAAGACTCTAATTTGGCCTCAAGAAGCATTTCATTGTATTTTTTCCTTAAATCAAGGTATTTCCGCTTATACAAGTCCCTTATATCATTGCTAGTAGTCCTCTGGAACCTCCGTCTAGCAGCGTTGACTCTCTTTCTCATAATGGAAATTTCCAATGACCACCAAGGTACTTTTCGCCTACCAGTCCTTCTAGTAGGCATAGATTTAATACATGCCCGAAAAATAACTGAAGTTATAAAATCTACAATCACATCAAGTGAGTCAGTGCTTGAGCAAGAATCCAAACCATTAATGATCAAAGAAATATACTGTGAACAATATTTTTCAAAATATCCCCAATTTGCTTTTTTTTTTTTTTTTTGTATTAAACAAAAAATTCTACTGACAGCAATTAAAGAAGCAGCAGAAACAGATAAGTCGAATTCAATCATTGCATGATCTGACAATGATTCACAGTCCGAGAGACACCAGCGGGTAACATTTGCTAGCAAATCAGCTCCCATAATTGTGACATCTATATAGCTTGATCCCTGTTCCGAACAAAAGGTAGGGCCACAGTCCTCATTGATCACATATAAGTTATAGGAGCTGACAAAATCTCCAAGCTTGTTTCCTCGAGCATCACTGTAGGGACTAAACCACAGTTCAGACTTACTATTGGAATCCATACCCCAAATAAGCTTTGCAAGATCCTTAGCCTGGAAAGACCCGACTTATTTTATGCAAATCAAATTCAATACATCGGGAGGGCTCAAAGTAGTATGAAAATAGAAAAAAAAATATTTAGTATCTTTTAAAAATAATATCAAGAGTCACCATATTATAATCCAAGAATCTCAAATTCAAAAAAGTAGGTAGAAATCCGGCTCGAACAATAATAGCAGCCTTTATGACCTCTGAGTTAAAATCATAATATAACCTAAAGGAACTCGGAAAGCCAGGCATAAGACCATGATAAGAGTAAGGTTCTTGAATAAAAGCAACAGAAACACTATTTACCTCCATATTCAAAACAAGTTGCTGAGTAGCAGCCTTACATCTATGTAAATTAATTTGAACAAATTTTAAAATAAAATTATGACTATTATCCATAATTTGTTCTTGCTATATTTTGACTTCTTATAAATTCATGACAAGAGCAACTTTCAGAAAAAGGTAAATGGCTTACATTTATTTTTTTTTCTCATCTTTTATTTTTTGATTGCGTCTAATGCAATTGATACAGACTTTCAAATTCTTATGTGGGCAATTTTTACTTTCATGTTCACATGCACAGAAATAACAAGCGCGTAGATTTTTACAATGTTCAGCACGGTGATTATATCCTAAACAATTAAAACACCGATTAATCACGACAAAATCATCCACAGTACAGATGCTCCAAGAAATTTTTAGTCTACATTCCTGTAAAATACCTCTACGCATGTCTGGATGCACCTCAACAACTAAATGTCTCGTATTTTGAAATTTCCTTAACGTAAATTGAATTCGAGATTCACTCCATTTATTTTCAGAGGCGATAACATCTGGATTTTGATTTTTTAAAACATCAAGACATCCTCATCCCTTATCTCATTAGGGACATTTTTTATTAAGATCGTAGGATTCCTTCGTTTGGAAGGAAAGGTAGTTAATTCCGGTGATTTTACTTGAATTTCAGTTTGTATCCTTCTTAAATCATTTTCAGAGGGGCATTCTATCAATACCTTGCCATTTCCAATATTTTTTAGATTGAGAATACCCACTTTTTTCTCGACAGGATTAATTTGTAATTTAAGAATCTTCTTAATATCCTCTGACGAATGATTTTCCGAAGAAATGACAAGACCACAACTTAAAGAATTTTGTTTTGCATTCTCCACAGGAGATGGCAGCAAAGCACTAGCATACGTTGGTTTTACGAAAATGTCTTTAAGACTTTCCCTACAAGCTTCACGGTAACCCAACGACTTAATACGTTCAAAATTCTTAGTAATCAAACACTTTAACTCGCACATTGCATACCTTGCCTCTTCACGAATATTCTGGTTCATATTACACTTTGACTCAACAGCCGTTTCAAGTTTATCATAGCAACATTTAAGCGCACTAAAACACATCATCGTCTTCATCCATCTTGGCATTCTTTTTAATATTAGTAAATATACGTATACTTTACATATTAGTAAATATATATCGGAAATTCTATTTGACATAATCGAAAGTTCAAGCTTACTTTTACAAAATTGCTCTAAAAGTCTGCAAAAAATAATAAGCCTGATCCAACCCGAAGATTAAGGAACAATGCAATCTGCAACATTACGCAATCTTCAACATTACTGAATTAGATAATTTTAGCTTAGCTTATACCGTCCATTATACATTAAACGCGCATTCGTAAACGTATTATGCGCATGCGCACACGCATATTCGCAGCCGTAAAGGTCTTAAGCGCACGCATAAACGCCTATGCGCATGCGTTGCGTTGATGCATGTGCAGAAAGTTTGTAGCTTTGAGGTCCGGATTATAGATCATTCCGGATTATGGGTGTCTGAATTAACGACTTTTGACTGTATTTAGGCATAATTTGAGTCATAGAATAGAAATATAGAAAAAAATTGGTATGCCATTTTAGTAAAAGTCCCATTTTGTCCCAATGCTCTTCATAACTCACAATCAGTTGCAGTTGTGGAATTATGGGTATTTTACAAAATTTTATAATGCTTTTGTAGAAGTACTGATAACGAATTGTTTCAAGTCCTGTTTCAGTTATGATAAGTTTTGTTTCAGTTAGCATAGTATCACTTCACTTACATGTTCAGTACCTTCATTTACGTGCTGAAATATATTTTCAATATAGATCTACACGAAAGTTTTCAGTTGGACTGTGCAGATTTTTCAGTAATAAATCTTTCTGTTCTTGATCTATAGTTGTGGTTGATTGCTTTCTTTATTTGAACACAGCAAAGTGTACAAGGACTATTTGCTTATATGGTGTTTGGTGTATTTAATTATGGCAAAGCACACTAGGGCTATCTGCCTAAGAGGAGGGATGCCTTCGTGGAGGACTTTCTAAGGGAAACTGGCTCATATACACGTTACACATGGGGAAAACCATGAAAACACCCATGCAGCCAGCCCGTTCACGGGATTCGAACCTCGGACCGAACTACCAGTGTTCAGCGACTTTACCACTCGGCCTATTTTTTTATATGAAGTGGCCTTATCCACTGAACTGGTTAAGTGTACCTAACTGTAATTTGTTGCAGAAACTGTTACGATTTAAATTTAACACCATTTTGATGACAAGTTAATGGCATCTTTTAACAAGATCTGAAGCAAAAGAGATAAGAGGTTACTTTGGCTGTGGATAAATTAATGGTTGAATTTCCAAATAATTTCAAATATTGCATATTTAGCTCTAAATAGTAACGCGACCAAAGGGAGCATGACAACATATTATACAGCTTCAAATCCTCAACCACTTAGATGATAGTTCAGATTAATGGTATCTCATAGAAATTAAACATACTAATAAGTCACCAGGAAATATACCTTTATTTAGTTGTTGCTTTCATCTTTATTACTACTATCTAAGCAAACAATTTATGGTACGATAGTAAAAAGGCTATTAACTGCAATAATTATGGCAAGATTCTAGAGAGGGTAACTTTACAGACTGACCTATGTTCTCCATAAGATTCTAGAGAGGGTAATTTTACAGACTGACCTATGTTCTCCATAACAGACATTACAGATTCAGGCTTTGGAAATACTAGGACCTAATTAATTTAGTTTATACTAATAAAACAGCTATCAGACTTGACAGTATCTAAATAGCATTCAGTGTATAGGAAACAGGAGGGAACAAAAGATTTTTCAGGTTTGTTTATTACAATGAAGTCCAACTGAAATTATTTTGTTGCTGTTGATATGAAGTGACTTTGATCAAAACAGATGCTTAAATAATATTTCTCATGCTGCATAAATGTAGCAGGTGTTGTGGCATAATTTTATTTTTTCAGTGCAGTGCTATTTGAAAGGAGAAACTAAAAGTTCATTTTTAACATGTTATGCTCTTTTATTTTAAAAAAGGGGGAAAAAGTAGTATGATACACAGAAAAAGTGCTGCTTTTGATGGCGTAGTTTAATGATAATTGAAATGCCCAATTTTGATGACCATCTTCGGCAAATAAGAACCTATAAGAGAGGGTATCTCTGAAAATCCATGTTATACAGTTCAAGAACTACCAGAAAGAATATCCCAAAACCTACAGTACAGTCAAAAGTCGTAATCCGGACTCGTCGGGACTTCGGTGATTCCGGATTATCAATTTTTCCGGATTATAGATCATCAGTTTAAATCTGGTAAAATGGCATGCAGAAATTATAAAATTAAAAATATGAAAACGTAATTTACAAAATAAAGAACAATTATGATCTAAAGGGTATCAAAATTTACAAAAAAAAAGCTTAATATTTATTTGTTTACTTTATTAAACATTTCTTTCAATGTAAGTTGTTTAAGTTGCTTCGTTTTTTATGTGATAATACATTCTCTTTAATTTTATAAACAGGCAATTTCTTGTTCAGTTACAAAGTTCCACTGTTCAAGTCCTATAATTGCTGTGTCTAGAATACAGACTAATTTGTCAATTGAAATTTTTTCGTTTTCAATAACCTCTGTCACTTTCTTTGAGGAGGCATTTGATTTAAATCATATCAAAGACAGAGTACATCCAGATGAAATACTACATTGAGTAAGCAATTATAAGCCAAATAAAATAAAAACATCTGCCCTTAAGATAAGGATAGTGCTGACAGATCAACTTCCAATTCATTGCACGTTAAAGATAAACGTTAAAGTTTAGATAAACAAAGGATATGCCTTTATCCATTTTTTGCAGCAATTCCACTTTTTGTTTAATGGACTCCAAAAGATACTTTCGCTTTGTATATCCTTTACATATTAGTAAATATAAATCGGAAATTCTATTTGACATAATCGAAAGTTCAAGCTTACTTTTATAAAATTGCTCTAACAGTCTGCAAAAAATAATAATCCGGATCCAATTCGAAGATTAAGGAACAATGCAATCTGCAACATTAACTGAAATAGATAATTAGATAATTTTAGCTTAGCTTATCCCGTCCATTATACATTAAACGCGCATTCGTAAACGTATTTTGCGCACGCGCACACGCAAATTCGCAGCAGTAAAGGTCAACGCGACGCATGTGCAGAAAGTTTGTAGCTTTGAGGTCCGGATTATGGGTGTCCGAATTAACGACTTTTGACTGTATATGATTATTCAAAGAATATTGGGTGTGTAAACTGCTTTGATATATGGTTACCCCATACTTTAAGATAGCAGAATATGCTTGCTCGAGTTTTGGTATGGAAAAAAAAGTATACAGGCTCCTTTACTGAAGCAACTAAATTAATTACAGGAAATAAAAAGTATATGATATACAATAATATTACAGGAAAAAGATCTTGGAATAAACCTAAAATAACCTCCTTCAATAACACTGAGAAGAGGGTTGCATCTTAAAAAGGTAATATTTTGTGTATAGTAAAAATGCAAAGAAATTGTATACTATGAATTACTGTCACCAAATTGGAAAATAAATCTGGAAGAATATTATTCTTAAATGGCAGTTTTAAAAGCGTAAATTGAACCAAAGAGCAAAGAACCAAACAGTCACTGAGGTCTTGCCTTCAACATGACAATGTTCGGCTCCACGTTTCGATGAATGTCAAAAAAATGTTATTGACTATGGCTGTGATGTTTTACAGCCCCTCTCCCCATTCTCACTAGGATTTTCTTTCCTTCAGGTTACTTCAAAATTATCTGAATGGCCTGGAGTTTATTCCTTTAAAGACTACCAAACAGCATACAAATAACTTCTTTACAAATAAACCTAATGGCATTTTAAAAAAGGAATTTTCCAGCTGATGAATTTGAAATACACACTACTATGACAGTTCTGCATACAAACAACCAGCTATGTCAGTGAACGCTATACCTAGAGAAGTAACTCTAAAATGTATATTATATGTATAGAACTGAGAGGGAGATACAATCCAAATGTTATTTCTTCCTATTCCTAATGCTAACGTTTGCTGACATGACAATTGGTATACTAGATAGATGGAAAAGACATATACAGTCAAAAGTCGTTAATCCGGACTCGTCGGGACTTCGGCGATTCCGGATTATCGATTTTTCCAGATTGTAGATCATCAGTTTAAACTGGTAAGATGGCATGCAGAAATTATAAAATTAAAAAATATGAAACCATAGTTTATGAAATAAAGACCAATTATGATCTAAAGGGTATCAAAATTTACAAAAAAAAGCTTAATATTTATTTGTTTACTTTATTAAACATTTCTTTCAATGCAAGTTGTTTAAATTGCTTCGTTTTATGTGATAATACTTTCTCTTTAATTCCATAAACAGACATAATTTCTTGTTCAGTTACAAAGTTCCACTGTTCAAGTCCTATATTTGCTGTGTCGAGAATACCGTCTAATTTGTCAATCGAAATTTTTTTCGTTTTCAATAACCTCTGTGTCACTTTCTTCACTATCAGAAGTGAATTATAATTACGAGGAATTTGATTTAAATGATATCAGAGTACATCAAGATGAAATACTACATTTAGTAAGGAATTATAAGCCAAATAAAATAAAAAAACATCTGCCCAGAAAATAAGGATAAGTGCTGAGAGATCAACTTCCAATTCATTGCGCGCTGCTGCGTCCCCCCCCATAGAGCAGCGTGAAATTGATAAACAGATTTTGGAATGGTTAGAGAAACAAAGGATATGCCTTTATCCACTTTTTGCAGCAATTCCACTTTTTTGTTTAATGGACTTCGAAACACACTTTCGCTTTGTAGATCCTTTACATATAAGTAAATATATATCAGAAATTTTATTTGACATAATCAAAAGTTCAAGCTTATTTTTATAAAATTGCTCTAACAGTCTGCAAAAAATAACAAGTCGGATCCTATTCGAAGATTAAGGAACAACGCAATCTGCAACATTAACTGAATTAGATAATTTTTGCTTAGCTTATACCATCCGTTATACATTAAACGCGCATGCGTATATTCACAGCATACGCATATTCACAGCCATAATGGTCTTACACGCATGTGTCGCGCATATTCGCAGCCGTAATGGTCTTACACGCATGCGTCAATGCGATGCATGCGCAGAAAGTTTGTGGCTTTGATACCCGGATTGTAGATCATTCCGGATTATGGGTGTCCGAATTAATGACTTTTGACTGTATATATAAATTTAATTTTAATTTTTGGTTTTGGGATATTTTGCCCCTCTATTTCCTTCCGTTTGCCACTGCCCCCCCTTTTTTTACCCATTTAGTTTATTCCGAATTGAATACAAGATGAATTTTCAACATATTTTTTATTTTAATTAATTTCATATAATTACCAAAACTTGTTGATGCTATCTACCAGACAACTGGATTATTTTTTAATTTTTCACTTTGTATTTGTTCATGCTTTTTAGTTTGGCCGTCAGTCTGTGTCTGTTGATTTAGCTGTGTACAAGAGGTTTTAGTCATGGCCAGAATAATGATAAATGCAGCAGATAGGTTGCATATTAGATCACTAGAACTTCGGAAAGCACAACTAGCTTGATAGCTATAACATCATCATTTTTGATGAATAATTTCTTGGACTTTTTTTGGAGGGGTTACACAACAATTTCATATATGCGTATCACTTCTTCGAATAATTGATGAAGGCAGCAAAGAGATTAATTATGTGCGTGTGAAGCTAAAAAGGCAGAAAAGTTATTGCGTATTCACAGCTGGGATATTTATATATTTAGCTTCTTTGTTTGAGTTTCAAATGGTGCTTGACAAAAGCTCTACAACACTACGAACCACTGCAGATGAAACGATGTAAGTGGCACAGCACAACAGCACAGATTCCAGAACAATTATGCAACCGACACAGAATGAGGAAATAAAAGGGCTGCTGCAAATTAAATTATAAATTATATATATATATATATACATATATAAACCAATAACACATACCATAATATCACAAACATCATTTACAGATTTTCCTCTCAATTCCAAGCCATTTACTTCAAGAATCTCATCACCTTCATGAAGTAAACCTAAAATATGAGTTTCATATCAAAATTCAGCCTGTTCAGAGAAAGCAAATTCAATGTAAAATCTTAGCATTTCAATAAATCTATTTGCAGGCTAGAGCAAATGAAATCTAATAAAACCTTGAATCATACCACTTTTTTCTGCAACTCCACCTTTGACAATACGACCTACAACAACAGCTTCTCCATCATTCTTAACAGTAGCACCCTACAAAGAAACACAATTTCAGTCAAAATATTTGTTTAATTAATTTTCCCTCAGATTTATTATTTAAAAATAAGAGAGTATTGTTTATTTTCATAATCTATAAATCATAACAATAAATCTAGCTTGAAGTTGTTTTCTATGCTTGAAGTTGTTTTCTTGTAAAAACCAATAGCAGTTGAAAACAGAGCAGTTTTTTAAATGCATTTCAAGTAATTTTTATCTACCTCAAATTCTGTACTATTTCAGCTTAATAAATATTTAGCACTTCATTTCCTAAACACAAGTAATTAAGTCAAAATATTATAAATTCATTTGTTAATATAATTTCCACATGCTTTTCTTAGCAAATAGGCATTAATGTAGGAGCTAAACAAATTAATAAACATCAGAATGAAAACAATACAAATGAATTATCAATATGTTTTTAACTAAGATGATATAGTTTATTGAAATTATTCAATAAATTAACCTCCTGCCAGTTAGTCTGAATACCTGCACCTTTGAAAGGAATGACAAATTATACAAAAATCTATCAATAAGAACAGACTTTACAGCACTCTGTGGTAGAACATCATAATTATTTAGAATTAAAGCTCATTTATTTTTTCATAAATACACTAATTACTTTCAAAGGTGGCCACTACTTAAAGATTTACTATATTTGGTTAATGTTTCACTTTCCTTAATAAATTTTACTTTTAACCCTTACTTGTAAAAATGAAAGTGCATAAACACATATGACATGCACAGAGAACATACATTACAGATGGCAGTCACAATTAATTTTAAAATTATCATTTTTATAAAATAAAAGAGATGAAAAAAATATATGCACATACATATACACATATGCATTACCAGTGGCTCAGTTGTTTTATCTATGCGGACAATTTTTATGCTTTCTTCTGTATACTGTGAAACCCTTGACAGCAATTCCTCCTCTTCTGATATTTCAGGTGTGATTTGACTTGCAGCAACTTTATCATGGCAAAACATAAAATTTTCAAATTGAGGTTTCCCAAGGATATGTAAGAGTTCTTTTGCATCTTTGGATGGAACATCCTGTAATGCTCTCACAACCTAAGAACAGCATTTATAATTTTATTTTGAATTCTGTGTTATATATCATTTAAGTAATTTAATGCAAATTTCTGTTTAAATGACAGTTTAATAATATTAAAAGTCTTGCATTTTTAATCAGAAATCTCAAAACTGCACTTAAGAAATAAAGAATCTTACAATTAAAACTCTTAATTCTATAAAATACAAGTTTCTCAAGAAATAAAATTATGTGTTTCAGTATTATCATTTTATTTCACAAAATGTAAAAGAAGGGGGGAATTAACCTCTAATTTAATGCTTACTGAATATTTATTTCATTTTATGCTAGAAAGTTAACCTTACTACAGAGAAACATTGAAGCTAATCAGGCTAATTCTTAAAACATACTACCATTAACATTTTATTTCAAAGCATGGTTTTATTTAATTTTTTCCAAAAAATAGTTTACATTTAAAGATTAATGGAAAATATCATCATATACAAAGAAAATAATTATTTTATCTCTTCATTACAAATTACACAACCTTTTTCACTGTGTTCGTCACTGCACATGGCATTTGAGCACGCTGCAGTCTATTGCCATTTAGAATAAGGACAGAATGCACAAAGTGTCCTCTTATTTGACTTCTCTTCTACTTGACAATGCCTTGGATCGTTCACATTAAAACTGCATATATCATTTTGTAGAGAGTGGCTCAAAGTTGGAATCATAAGTATAAGACATCTAGCCAAGATTTGATAAATTCAGTGCTTACACCTCTCGTAAATTTTTGTTGGTAAGAAATACTTTCTCTTTTCTTATAAGCATTGTGACAATAAATAATGTAGGAATTTCTGAAAGCTGTATTTAAAATTTAATAAAAATTACAAAGAGGCCATCTCCTTGTATTTTGGCTGCAAGACACAGCAGTAGATCTGATCAAAAGTATCCACACTATCTTTTGCAGAATTATAAAAGTCTTTAATATCCAATTTGTTACTTTCTGCATGTATGAATTTACCATTAGATATGTTGTTGAAGAAAGAACTACTTTATTTGGCCTGTGCTTTGTAAGACAGGAGAGTTATTTTGCCTTCTTTTATATCTTTTACACTCAGATGTTCATCTGGAATTTATCAGTTATTCTTTGGTGATGTTCTAACTATGATGAGTTTAAAAGGTGGTTTCAAAAGCTCAGTGGCTAATGATACAGATGTAAAGCAATTATCCATGGTTATATTATGATTTGATCCATGTATGAATTAAATTAACTTTTCAGAAATATTCAGCTTATGGAAGCCCTAGAATTTGTATGCTATTCAATGTAAGCTAATCATTCGTAAAATTTACAAACATGACTCGCTTTGTTACTGAATAAGTGGAAAGGTGTTTCAAGGTTAAATAAGGTTACACAAAAGGACAAACCATTTATCCACAGGGGAGTAGGAGAATTTATGAAACAAGGCAAGTGAAGTTGTAAAATTAAGGAAAGATTAGCTTTCTACGGCTACCACCAAAGGCTGCAGATAAAAACAAAAGCAAAATAATATGATGAGAGAGAAAATGAATATTACGAAATAAAAAGGAATAACTGTCTAGTTTTTCTATCCCTTTTCTCAATAACTATTTTACTTATAGTTTTGATCACTTCTGTGAGGCAATTCGTGCTTGAACTTGTTTTCTTGTGATAACCAATAGCAGTTGAAAACAGAGCAGTTTTTTAAATGCATTTCAAGTAATTTTTATCTACCTCAAATTCTGTACTATTTCAGCTTAATAAATATTTAGCACTTCATTTCCTAAACACAAGTTAATTAAGTCAATATTATAAATTCATTGTTAATATAATTTCCACATGCTTTCTTAGCAAATAGGCATTAATGTAGGAAGCTAAACAAATTAAAAAACATCAGAATGAAAACAATACAAATGAATTATCATAGTTTTTAACTAAGATGATATAGTTTATGAAATTATTCAATAAATTAACCTCCTGCCAGTTAGTTGAATACCTGCATCTTTGAAAGGAATGACAAATTATACAAAAATCTATCAATAAGAACAGACTTTACAGCACTCTGTGGTAGAACATCATAATTATTTAGAATTCACAAGTATGTATGTGTGTGTGTTCATTGAAATTTGATACTTGTAGACACATAAAAATTTTAAAAGGAGATGCATACTAATTTTACACTTACTTCTAATGATATAACCTGAGCATCTGTACAAACAGGAGAAGGCAGGCACTTGAAACAACACAAATCTTGAATTTTATTATGCAAGGTTAACAGGGATTGAAACTCCTGATTATGTAATAATTTCTCTAAATCCAGAAGGCTTTCATCAAAACCCGTTTTTGATAAGAGAGTTTCTACATTTTGAAGCATGTCCAGTAGTTCAGATGGTTCTACAGGAAGGGGGAAAAAATACATTTATAGACACATACTTTCATCAAATAATTCAGCTATGCTAATACATTGAGCATTTTAACAGGTTTAATTTAACTAATAAATTTATTTTAAAATTACACATAAATAAAAAGGGTTATAAAGAGAAACTATCAATCTTGGGAAAATCAGCTACGGCTGAATTAATCTTCACTTTCCTTTTCCTATAAGGAAAGATCTAAAAATTCAAAATGTAAAAGGATGTCAAGAACTTCATTTCAGGTATCAGTTATAGATAACTTTTATTTCTTGGCAATTAATACTATTTTGAATTTAATTTTCATTAAATCATTTCACAAATTTTTAATCTTCATTTGAATTATGGCTACTATGGCACCTCTCCATAACAGCTTGCATCTAAGCTAGAGAGACCTAACCTATTGTGCAAATGCTCACAAATGCATCAATTTGGAGCTGATGAGCCAGCAATGCAATAATGGGTACTTTTCCGTTTTGCCGGCGCAAGCGATAAAGTCGCCAATAATGGTACAACCGATGCCAAACGGAATATTCTCGCTGGTAACCTTTTAAGCCTCATTTTCAAAACAAGTCGCAGCTTTTTCTTATCAGATTGATTGTTTCTTTCAATACTGGCATATAATTACATAGAATTTTTATCAATAGTTCAGTTTTATGTCTAAGGCCATTTTCGGTAATTAAGTCAATCAGGATGCAATCACAGCGCTTAACCCGAAGCCGAAAATACAGAAAAGGTAAAGTCAAGGGTTAAATTCATCAATTCTAACGAGAATGCATTAGCGAAGTAAAGCATTGCAGTTTTACATAATTTCTGAGTAAGCTATTCGTACGAATTGAAATATTTCTTGCATTTAAACTTGTGTTCCAAATTAAGATTTAACTTGAAATTAATTGTAGATAATTACTGAGAGCATTAGATTTTTGTAGAGTAGTTACGTGAGATGAGATCGCTTGGTGTCACGTGATATAAACACCGGCGAATCAGGATGTTGAACCATGAAAGCATAGTAAATTCTTAAATTAATGTCTTTTTACAAATTTATTGTCTTTATTTTATTGGCTTTTTATAAAATTTTAAGCGATATTAAAATGTTTATGCCTTCAAAAAAGGAATTCTTAGAACTAACATTTTTTTAATATTTTTTATGTGTATACTGTATGTTGTCGCCAATAAAGTCTGCTTGGCGAGATTTGCGCCGGCGAAACGGAAAAGTACCCAATAATGTAATTTCATAATCCTTGCAAAAATAATTAACTTCGTTAGGTCGATAAAATGGGGCTGAATACTAATTTAAAACTAAAAATTACTCATTTAATACTTACAAATATATTCTAAATAATTTTTTCAGAAGTGTAGCTGCTAGAACCTCCAGATATATGACAAGACTTAAAATTTAGTCATAATTTTGCTTTGATTTAAGTGTTCATTTGTATAAGAGTACTTCCATTTTACATTTCGACTAAATTAATAGTCATTCAACTATCACTTCCTTATTTTATATTAGTTACAAAGTTCAGAACTTACTGAATTTTGACTGTGTGTTCAATTCCAGATGCATTTTACAGAATAATTCACCTTATTCTAACTGTTGGAATATAGTGAATTATAGCGCTAATTTCGCATATTTAAACAACTGGAATAAGCAGTTAATTATATAAACGTAGAATAACGTCATCGCTACAAAAAAACTACAAAAATTTTCATAATTAATGAAACTACTGTTTTATCCCATAAAACAAAAATACACGGCAAATATAAAATAAATATATGAAATTATGGTACGAATGAAGAAAAACGATTTTAGATAAGACCAAAATAAAGCGAAGTTATGATTAATAATGAACAGAGAGTTATACACAAATCAATTATCAATTTTGACAGCAAGCAATTATAATTTTAATTAAAAAAATTTATTTAAAAAATTAAATATATGACAATTAAAATCTTTTATGCTTAAAATGTACCAAATATACAATATTCCATGCTAAATAGCTGTAACCGAATCCATAAAAATGGCTTTTAAATTCCTCGTACGAAGTGAAGGAAGTACTGTAATCGCGAAAAATTTCTATCGTATTTCAACGGAAATATCCATTCTGACCCTTCCCGAATCAATTTTGACTATTTTTCTTGCATGGCGTCTGTCTGTACGGACAGAATAAAGACCTTTTTTTAAACGGATTGTAAAATAGATTTAAACTTTTTTTTTTCCTCCCGTGACGTCGGTAAGTATGTATGTATCTCGAATAACTGAAACAATTAGCCGAAGAGCGTTGAAATTTTGTATATGGGACTGCTATAACATCCAGTTGTACATCTTCCTTTTTTAGTGCAAACGGCAGTACCAAAACTTCCTTTATCAGGCTTAAGTCCTAACCTGGCCTTTATTTTCCAAATCGTTCGTCGTAACCACATACCTCCAGTTATAGAAGTGGTTAAAATGCCGAAAATATTCATGCTTTGGTAATGTCAAACTTAAAAGGAAATAATTTCGGACAAATAACGAAATCTAACTTTTAATGCGGTCTTCCGCTTCCCATACTTATATTTAGAAACGCTTACTTTATACTGCTTGTGAAAAAAAATTATGGGAAATTTGACTCACGGAACGACAAATATATTTTTACTGTGATATTTAATTCCAAAATTTGCAATTTCTGACGTCATTTTCAAGTTGCCTTGAGAATCGGTTATTTAAGCTAAGACTAATTTGAGGAAATAAGTTTAAATGAAGTATAGTAAAAAATGTGTGCGAGATTTTTTAAGATATTTTTACACAAATATTATTCTATCAATCCCTATTGAAGCTTAAACTTGGAAATCGGTAACTGAATTGCGCAAGTAAAATCAGCTATAAACTCAAATATTACCATGAGTGTTTCATTATGCGTATTTCTGCACAGATAAAAGGTTATAATTATTTTTCAATTCGGAGATAAGAGAAACAAATTATGTTTTCGTCACTTATAATCTTTACGAGTAAATCACGAATCAACTTTTACACGCTAAAATTTGATTTACTAACAGGAAAACAGTACGTATTTTTAAAAAAATTCTCGAACTTACAATTTAAGATGGAACCATATAGCGTTCTGATCACGAAGGGAATTAGAAATGCAATAAATTGGTTAATATAAAATAAAAATACGATAAAAGCATTACAATTTTTTATCCACCACTCAAATATTCTATTAAAGTCAAAAGAGTAGCTCTAAATTAATATGACCTATTTTAGATTCATACGAACCGAGTCAAAAAGTGAACATGTTAAAAAGTAATAATAATAAAAGTAGCGCTTTTGGTTAGACTTTTGAAGCAAAAGATCATTCACATTCAATAAAAATTTTAGGAGACAAAACTTTCCAATCTTAAATATTCTTCTTAAATGTGTCATTTTATCTTTCGTTGTAAACAAAAATAAAAATCTCAAAGTCCTAAAATAAATTTTAACAAAGAGAAGTTTGAAGCCACAATCATTCATCTAAAACTTACTTTTCGAAGTGAAAGTCTCATTTAAGGCGAAAATTTTATGCTTAATTTACATCCATAATTTAAATTATGTTTATTCATATATACCAACAATTTAATAAGAACTTTCTTTTCAACTATCAGATATAACTTTAAACACACACACACACACACACACCAAAAAAACAAAAAAAAAAAAAAAAAAAAAAAAAAATCGATGATTTATTGTAAGTGTTTTATGTTACAGCGAAATTTCGCCGTAATTAATCCAAATAAATTAAAAATTAAATTTATTCTACACCTTAAATTGAAATTAAAATTCTGAAATAACAGTTCATAAAGGAAATGCTTATGCTATTGAAGAACTGAATTTTCACACATTTCAGCGACGGAATAAAACGGTGGTAACAAATAAAACTTAAACATAACTTTAACAAGCACGATTCATTAACTATAGAAAACACACCATTTCCAACAGTAACAAGAGTTCGATAATAAAAAATTCCAAGCTATCACCAAAGCAATGACATAAAGGCAGAACATAAATTTGATTGCAAAAAAAATCTTAATATACAGATAACCGACAATAGTAACAACTTCTTTTAGAACATTATAACAACACTAAACTACGATTCTCGTATTTCTATCGTTGAAATTGCAAAACAGAAATATATATACATAAAGAAAACACCCATATATCATTCCTAGCTTAGAAAGTCAGCTCGGCAATTTCAATCCTATGGTACAGCCGGTTTTGGCATCGTATTACAAGACCGCGAAAGAACTTGCTGACACGCACAACTGCAGTCAATTTTAACTTGATACTTATAGGGCAGATCCCAGATGACCCTTTCACTTGAACTCTGAGGCCACCGAAGGGTTATCGGGTAACAAAGAAAAGTGAAGTGGTGGTCACGATGTTTTTGTTCAGTTCGAGGTATGAGAAAGTACTTTCTCAAACGATAGCACCGAAAAACGAAATGGCAACTTATTTTTCTACTTTGAGTAGTACATAATTTTAATTCACTGAGATAGCTGTTTAAACTATTTTAACAATTTGATAACGTTATTCTTCTGAAGGTAGGCGTAGCATGATACTTTGATGAAGTTTACCAAATATATCCAGAAAATTAGTCTATTTTCGAAACTTCTATTACCAATCAATATTTCAAAGTAAACATTTTTCTTTCTCGCTGAAGTAGATTAAAAACAAAAATAACGGCATCTGTCTACAAACAAAACATCGTCGAAATTTCTATTACCAATCAATATTTTGAAAAAGAAAAATTATTTCCGCTGAAGAAGATTAGAAACAAAAATAAAGGCATCTGTCTACAAACAAAACATCATGTATTAAATCTAACATAAACAACAGAATTATTTGTCATACAATAAACAATCTCCAAAAAAAATTTCCTTCTCTTATTCGAAATACATGTCGGAAGGGAGGGTGACTACAATTTGAAAACATTCGATAACAATTTAATACATCCCAAAACAGAAATTCACTATTAAGAATGTTTGAAAAAATTTTTAGAATACAAAAAAATGTAAATTAATCTTCGTATTCAAATTTCAGTTTAAAATCTGAAACATTTTTAAGCTAAGCAGTTTCAATATTTCTGTGGATTAAGAATTAATAAAAACGAACTATTCAGAACAGCCATTCAGTAACAGATGTGTATCTCAGACTGCACGCTTAATTAATAAAGAAAAGAATTATTCAAGACATAGCTGCAATATACGGAACACAGCTTAAGCACGACGCTTGCAAGTATATTTTCTTGCAAGCGCAGTAGCAACTATTCCTGTTTCGGAGAGCATGAAATTCGGTTAGAGAACATAACACATTTTACAATTTGTTAAAGAGAAACATTTAATTAGACAAAGCAACTCGAGAATATAGGCGATTTTATATCAGATTCAGTTTCTTAAGACACAGATGAGTTGCAGAAAATTTTCTTTCAATTTCTTTCCCACTCCCATCCAAGCATGTGTATCTACAGTTTACATTATGAATAAAAAACAATTTAATTTGAAATTTCGCCATGATAGTCATTCATTTCAGAATAATATCATAAGCTAATAACTGGAAAAGTGCACTATAGTGACTTACTTAAGGATATAATATGCAACACCCATTCCATTTTGATCAGCAGTATTTCAGGGATCACTTATTAACCCACTCTTGCGATGGCTTTCAGATCCATTTCACACCTCCAATTCATTCCGAGTGATTGAGAAATTACACAAATTTTACTGTCTTATTCAAAAGGCGAACCGCCACACAAAGACTGATAATCAGGTTCAATAATAACATACATGAGGCTCTGATGAACGTGAGGCGTATGCTCGTGTGCGTATGTTTGTAATAATTGTGCGTAATTTTTAAGTCATCCGGTTAACCTTTGATATGGGAAAAGGAACCACCTGAAAACAGAGACGAGTTTTGCTGAAATTTAGAATTTCGTTTTTTCGGGTCACTTCTGCATCTTGCCTAGTTTTTTTTTTTTTTTTTTTTTTGAACACTAAACTGTTGCAATTTCATTCACCTGGATCATCAATATCACCCTAAGGCGGAACTGAGTTAATTTTTTGGGGAGAACTTAGCATTCTAGGCTTAGTATTAGTATGTATTTATGTTAATTCTTAAAATAATTCTATCCCATCTGTATGTGCTGTAATTTTTTTTTAAAAATTGGGGGAATTGTTCAAAAAAAGGGGGGACCGAAATGTTACTCAACTATTTCGTCAAATTCTATTGAGAAATTGAACTTAGTGAAACGAAATTTTTAATTATGCTATGTACTTTATTTTCTAAAATTTAAACGTATCCTCTTAACATATAGCAGATTTATTTTTTATGTACTTTACTTTCTAAAATTTAAACGTATCTTCTTAACAAATAGCAGATTTATTTTTTATGTACTTTACTTTCTAAAATTTAAACGTTTCTTCTTAACAAATAGCAGATTTACTTTTTATGTACTTTACTTTCTAAAATTTAAACGTATCTTCTTAACAAATAGCAGATTTAATTTTTATGTACTTTATTTTCTAAAATTTAAACGTATCTTCTTAACAAATAGCAAATTTATTTTTTATGTATTTTATTTTCTAAAATTTAACTGTATCTTTTCAACAAATAGCAAATTTATTTTTTAAAACTTATCTTCCAGCAGCTGTGGGGAAGATCGTTCCCGGGAGTAACAATCACTTTCCCTTAAAAAGTTCTTTCCTAGGCTTTGCCATAATCCAGATACCTTAAGCTAAAATTTATTTTTCTTAAATGAATATTTAAATCTTTGCCTCAATTAAAAACTTGCAATATTATTTTTCTCTTATTATGTTTCTTCTTTTTAAAGGAGAAGAATTTAATCCTTTGAGATTTAGAACGATCTTTAACTTCCTCAGCTTTAAATCTCGGTCAAAATAAGGTAAGGAGTCGAAACCATTACGGAAAATATCACTATCTTCTTTTCCAATCTATTTTGAATTGCAAATTAGGTGAGATATCGCTTCTGCAGTTATTACGCTATAAATCTTCCACCTACTAAATTTCAATCACTAGCGGAGGCTGATTATCTGAGTTCAAGCATTGATATTTTGGCGCAGTCACTATTCTATAAATACAGACGATTTGTTTATCTATTTCTGGCTAACAGCTACACGCAGTTTTAATTTTCATCGATTTCAAAATTTTTAATGCTTAAAGTTTCCTTCTTCCTTTCCAGTAGTTAGTATTTATTTACTGATACAAAAACATGAAATAGAAGTAAAAATATTACTTGTTTCTTTTCCTGCTCACAAAACAATGCGCAGAAATCTGCTTAAAATATTTTTCGGTATGAAAAAGGATGTCTGATAAGCTCTATGATCATGTGATGATTTGTAAGAGCTTTATTTTTTACCACGAAATTTCAAACCTTCGAAGTTTTATTTCCAACAACAATGTTTCATCCCTGTTTCCTTTTCCTCCACTATGTTTTGCACGAAGACCATTCCCCCTTGCGTTGCTCAGCAAAGTTTTCGTGCGCAATGTTACACGTCTTAAAAGAAACCACTACGCAGTAGCGTATATGTGTAGCTTACACGAAATGATCAGTTCCATCATTAGCATTTTCAGTCTGATAATAATTCTGATGAGAATCAGCCAAAAAACACATTGCTCTTTTTTCCCGTTAAAAAGAAATTTCCATCGTTTCCAGAAGCTGAGAGTATACAGTCGTTTCATTTTCGAAAAGATCCTTTGCAGTGTAAGATACTGCAACTTCAATGACCAAAGAACTCATCTTGATCGATTACAGACGCATGTCTTTAATACAATCATTTCCTTCAAGTTTCGTTTTGAAAATCCTGCCATTCTATTTTTACTTCCTCGCACAAAGTAAAGGAAGTGTTGTAACTGCAAAAATTTTCGGGTGTTATATTTCAAAGAAAATATCCATTTTCACAACTATCGAATGCAATTTAGTTTTTGTGGGATATCTGTACGTAAGGACAGAATAAAGGCCTCTTTTTCCCAAAACGAGTTGCAAAAAGATTCAAAATGGATTCAAAAGAGATTTTTTGCGTGACGTCTGTACGTACGAGTACGTATATACGTATCGCATAACTCAAAAACGAGAAGCCTCAGAACGTTGCAATTTTGTATAAAGAACTGCTGTAACGTTGTTGTGCACCTCCATTAACGGTTGCAATCGGCAGCACCAAAATTATATATATATATACCCACTCTTGTTACTCGGCTCCGTGAACACAGTTTTTTAGTTGTTGATAAATTGTGCATTTTTTTGCTTTAAAAATGATTGAATTGCGTTGTTCTTATCTTCCGATTAAGGTTTTTATGCGTTTAGTTAATCTGCATGTAACAGTTGTAGAATTATCAACAATTTAAAAGTTGTTTAAGTGCAACTACGCCTAATTTTTTCCCCCATAGCAGCCATATGTGTTTACATTTGAAACTTGGCAGAATAGTGAATTAAATCAGTTTCTGCACCTTAAGTGTCTTTTTGCTGAGTGGGACCAAACGTAAACTTTCAGTTTTGTGCACTAAAAAGCCTGCCTTCTTGCCCGCTGGCCGAAGCATCAATATACTCAGTTCAATGACATCTTCATTTTGACAACGCATTATCAAGATCGAGATAGCAGAACATGTGACACCCATTCGCTAATTTCTTCAACAAGAATTTAGAAAGATAAATAAGTTTCGAGCAATAGAACAACATAGTAAATGGTATTTTGTTTATATAATTCAAATACGTTGAAATCAAAGATACTCACTATAAATTCTGGTAAGCTCTGTTGGTTCGCCATCAGGATTTTCGCTTACCAATCGACCATCAACTGCATGATTTCTAGCAGCTCCAGCATCTCCTTCTTCCAACTGAAAACCCGAGTTTTCCATACCACCCCTCTTCTCCAACGCTCTAAGTTTTTGTGAACTTCGAAGAGATGACCTCAAGAATTCCTCTTCACGTGCAAGACGATCTTCATCTTCTTTTCTCTTAGAAAGTTCTTCCTAAATTACAACAACAGATTACACATCTGCCTGAATACGACACTTATACAACATAATATGTCACAACGCACTTTACCAACCTGATATTTCCGTATTCTTTCCATGCGTTCCGAATCACTGTAATTAAACACAGTTTCGTTTTTAAATGCTGATCCGTTCAAATCTTCTTTCGATTTTGACGTTCGGACTAACTCAGATATTCTTGGCGTGGGAGGCGTCCTTTTCTCAGACGACGTATCTGGATTACCATCTTGAGCTGACACAGATCGAACGTGGTTGCTAGATTTTTCAGCAGAGTAGTCTGAGCTAAAACGATACTGGCCTTTCTTCTTGAGACTACAAGTTTCTGGTGTGCTGGGAGGCTTTTTTCGAGGCGGAGGATAACGCGGTGCTGTTTTAGTAACACCAACGAAAGAATCTGGTACATCTACAGCCATCTCCCGATGTCGAGTGGCCGTTTGCACCAAGGCCATCGAATTGTTATTATTATGGCTACTGTTGTTATTGTTAATAATCGCAACGCTGGAAGCAATCTTTGGATCTTTCATGGCATCTTTCGTGATGGCGTCTTCTATAACAGTGGGAATGAATGTCTCTGTTGCCGCTGGACTTACGATGATTTCTTTGATTTCAAAATCTGAAAAAAAGAAAAGATCAGGATATAAGTAACTGAGCACAAACGTAGCAGTAGCAAATTATTTTCCGGAATGTTTACCTAATTTAAAACTACTGCGATAACTTTATTTTCTAACAATCATAAAGAATTCCAAATCTCATCTATCCAGCGAATACTTTCAAAAATTAATTTTTTGACAAAAATCAGCTCATTGTAATACATACTAAAAGACCCACAATGAACCAGCCCGTTCCATTGGATAGCCGAGTCCCAGAAGAAAATGCTTAAGTTTCAGAGTGTGATCTACGCATTCTGATAATACAAGCTACATACAGAGGCGAATGGGATTGAAAGTCTAGGCACTGTGTTTCCCGTCTTTCGTCAAGACACAATGGTGCCATACAGCAAAAGTTCTGCCACCTTTTTCAAGTCGATAACCGCTCGTCAAGATACGTTTGGTTTATTTGAATATTTCAAAGGATTCGAGAGCAATCTACCTAAGGAAAATGATGCCTTCGTGGAGGACTTTTTAAGGGAACCTGACATGGACATTTTAAGGGAAACTGACATGACAGGGAAAGTTACACATGGCGAAAACCAAAAAAACGCCCATACAACCAAGCCCGTTTGCCGAGATTCGAACCGCGGACCGAACTATCAGTATTCGGCGACTTAACCACACGGCTGTTGATGGACCTGTAAGATACAACAGTACCCTGACATAACGCAGCATAAATATATCGCCACTTTTATTAAGTTCGGTATTATAAAGAAAGAAACCCTCAAAAAGGCTGTCGAGATAACCATCTTAATCTTGGCAAACAGTGGTCTAATCTTGGCAAACAGTGCATAAAAGTACTGGTGAAACCATCTGGGTGGCGATACATGAAACTTCCTTGCTTTTATGCAATAGAGTAAAAAAAATTACATCCAACAATTATATATTTAGCTAACGACGGCGGAGTCAAGACTTTAAGTATAATACCGTTGCCATTAGTTTATCTTCGATTTTATCAGTGTTATTATGTCGTTTATATGTTCTATAAATTTGTCTTCTCCCCCCTGCTGCATGTATAACTGCTTTTACAGTTAATCTTTCTTAAACTATCGATGTTAGGTAACAAAGCAGCGCCACAGACACCGGCCACTCGAGAATTTTCGAATGATATATTTAACAATATTCAAGTCTTTTTCATCTATATTTGTTTCAAAATGAGTCTTCTGAAACAAGGTAACTCTTTATTTTGGCAGTATCTTCATTAATGTCTCAATATTACTTAGTTTACCCAGCGTTTACTTAAGATTACATGAAATGGACTTGTATTACTTTCAAAATAAATAATTTAGCAATTTCGTATATAAAACATTTTTTAAATAAAAGCCTATGCACATTTTATAAAATGTCAGCTTCCTGTCAGTAAAAATTCACACAAAATTATATATTACATGAAATAGTGCCCAGGTTGTAACTAGACACCTCTTGTCTGAATTACATGAAATAGAAATAACCATTTGAACTGAAAACAGACACGGAGAAATGTAACGTGATGTTCAATAACTATGATAAATTTTGAAGTAAATTTTATGAATATTCAGTTACACTCCTCTCCAGTTCAGTATTAATATTCATTCCAAATTTGGCGAATTTCCCTCACACCGTTGAAATATAAATAAACCACAGTGCTTTTTCAGCTCTCTCAAATGGTTAAAAAGTAAAGCTAATAATCTCCGAAAATGGGAACTTAACAAGACAGACTCGTTCTCACCAAGGAGTGTAAAGATTAATCCTCAGAGAAGGACGTTAGACCTCCTATCGCAAATCAGTGACACATCTTCGGAGGGATCAATGAATCAATCCACTTCCTGAGCCACCCTCTCAATTTAGAGCGCAGTTACGTTACTGATATTTGAGAAGACGAAGATACTTATAGTGCATCACAGCTTACCCTCTTTCTCGGAAATGACTTTGCTACTGTTGTTATTCTTAAGGGGCGTCTTGGTGGGAGAATCGTCCTTCACAAGTGGGGTGCTCTCGATGGCGGCGCTCTCGGATGTAGGCGATCGGTTGTTGGTCTGTCTCTGGTCGATCGTCTGCGTTGGGGTGCAGGTGCCAGACAACTGGGTCATGTCCGACCCGTGGTCTTCGGGAGGCTGACCACTGCTCACAGAGATCAGGAAGGTGTCTCGGATACTTACATCGCCAACTGCAAGAGAAAACGAAATGTTTAATATACCGTGCAAGGATAACAGAAACCATATTTTATTGATGATTAATACATACATCTGAATATATAAACATCTAAGAACAGAATCCAGTTATAATCAGCATTTAGCAAATAACTTCTTTTCTTAACCAATGCGTCAATGTGATGATTAACATGTAGTAACATCTGTTAATACAGAGGTTCTTAAACTTTTTTCTGCACCCTCTTTGCTAGACGATCATTCCAACCACCTCGTTTTCCAAACTTGAAAAATAAGTGTACCTTTATTTAAATTTAACTTACTTTTTAGTGTGTTTTATAAATTAAACAAGAAAGTTTAGAAAATGTTGATAAATACCGAAACTTGAATTAAAGTAGTTCTTTATATTCATTAATTAAAAACCATAATACTTAAACACATAGTCTAGCTGAATACCCCCTTGAAACTATGAAATCCCCCCCCGGTTGAAAACTCCTGTGTTAATAAACGATCTAAAGCAATGAAAGATTTCTGTACAGTTCCATCGCTGATTGGTTGGTTTGGTTGGTTGGTTTTTTAAATGGCACAAAACCTCGAGGGTTATTATGCGCCAGACAAATGGTGAGTAAAATTCAAGATGCATAAACAAGTATCAAGTGAATTGATGAAATGAACGTGAAATACTGATGAAGGCATGCAGAAATGACTTTAAAATGTCCAGGCAGAAATGACAAGTTCCATCGCTGAATAAAATAAGTACAAAAACAATCCACATAATTGAATACGCATCTAAAAATTGTGATTTTAATTTTTTCCTGAATTAAGCAAGAATATATTTTAATGCTAGAATAAACAAAATAAAACTGTTTGTTATGAGAAAGAATACGATTTAGAATATTTACAAACTTCTTCCTCAGTACTTAAGTAACATTATATTTAAAAAAAAAAAAAAAAAAAAAAAAAAAAACTGTGTTTCAGATGTGTTCGTTACATATCTGTGTGTTATAAAAGATGCTGTATAACACACAGATATGTTCTCCAAGAAATTTTCAGTTTTGCCATTAATAAACAATATAGTCACTGTTTCCCTGTTTATTACAAAGTTTTTTTTTTTTTTTTTTTTTTTTTTTTTTTGCAGAGTTGGGCTCTAAAGCGAAGACTTAACATATCACTTTAAGATATAAAATAAATATTTAAAAACTTTTCGAAAATTGTAATTGGTCGTCTTATAATTCAATGGTTAAGACAGAATAATTCGCCCTTGGATTTATTTTCCACACTTGAACGGGAAGACTGCAAAAAGCTGCCGTGTTATTCCTTGCTTTATATATGCAAGTACGTACTCCATTTCTCCTCAGGGAGACAGAATGCCACCAGAATTCAATAATCCAATTTACTCCTAATAGAATAGTTTAAAGAACATAGAAAGAGGGTACAGAATAGTTTTTTAGTTTTTTACGTCAATAATGTGAGGAAGAGTAAAGCTTTTAAATTTCAATTAAATTAAGCAAAAGGTTTTTAATATGGGTATATGTGCAAAGTTAACGCTTTTAAAAAACTAAAGCTCTCAATATGCTTCTACAAATGTTGGTTACCGGGGGGGGGGAAGAGATTTTAGAAATGTGAGATTAAAAAGTGACTAATTTGTTCTAACTCGAAAACAATTAACAAATCTTTTTCATTAGCAAATAATTTCAAAATCAATCCAATGATTCCAAAATCCAATTTCTACCATGATCCATAAGAAAAAATAAAAGGAAGGACAATTTCAAGAATAAAACTAAATTTGAAAGAACAGAGTCTTCGAAGTTTATCTGGTATTGTACGATCATACAATTTATTTTTTACATAATATCTTAAAAAAAAAAAAAAAAAAAAAAAAAAAAAGGCAACTTTCATCAAAACAAGTTGTTCTTCTAGAATCATTAGGTCAGGATATCCAAGATTACAAAAAGAAAGCAACGAAAACTTGCGCGGAAAGAAAAATTGCAACTGGGCCTCTAACGGAAAACGTACAGAAATTCTCTCTTTTCCTTCGTTCTAAGAGCAACACGTTTTCCACTTTTGCTCAAAATATTGGGTAGAAAAGAAGATCCAACATTTCCAGACAATTACTGAAGTAATTCATTTACCCTAATATCAGTAATTCCTTTCCTTGCATCATTAGGAAATATTAATGGCAACGTTCAATAGCATCACAACATAAAACAAGACAGACTATTGTACAAAACTGAGAAATAATACAAACAATTTCTAGAAAAATAACAAATCGTGAAAGTAGAATAAAAATATATTTGGTTCCATTATAGGGCGCTTAATTTTTTTCTTTTTCTATCAGACATACTTTAATCGCAGTTTTACTTGACTACATTATAAATTTTAATTTTCTTCCAGCAAACAGAATGTAAAATTTTTGCGCGGAGAGTTTCGATGCATTTTCGTTAACATTTCAAAACATTTTCTCCTCAGATTCCTATTTTCCCGATGGAATTTCATCTTCACACGAATGCATTCTGCACACCCTCCCTTCCCTCTCCAAAAAATATGTAAAACTATAATTATTTCACAAAAATGTAATGTATGCCAAATTTAAAAATTTCGCAATTTTTTCCCACGTCAAAATTGTGTTTTCGCATATACATGCCACAGAAAAAATTGTTATGCATCTACGAAAGAAAACTTTAAAAACGAACTTTTTCATGAATTTTAAGCGGTGAAAATAATAATGAAATAAATAAGTAAATTAAGTTCGGCACTCGTCAAAACAAATCAATCGCAAGCGATCACAAACCGTGCCAAATACGATAGCTATTAAGTCGTACAAGGAAATCGCAAATCAAGCGATACGCAAAAGTGGAAGTGAAAGTAACTCGCAGTGACAGATAGTCGAACGTGTTCTATCGACTGTGAAATAGGCGCTCTTCTTATCGCCAATGAAACGGAACGAGGGGTTCAGCTGACATTACGATTTTAGCATCCTAATCTTCGAATTTTTTTCACAAATTTATATTTATTCAAATCCATGTTAATATTTCCAAAATCATGTTGTGGCAATATGTACTTTCTAGGTTACAGATGAACTGTAAACAGAAATAAAAAAAACATCCAAGAAAACTGGATACTATATAGCGAAAGAAAACTGGATACTATAAATAGAAATTAACTCGTGTTGTTCAGACTTGATACGAAGACGTGGTATGTTGCAGGTCCTCTTCAATATTGTTGCGTTTTTCTTCTGACACCAGTTGTTACGTTATTTTCTTCCTTCACGTTCGTACAGGATTCGTAGATTTGGAGTGAATAACGACGACACGTGATGAAGTATCGAAACACACTTTTTTGGCCGGTATTAATCAGGACAGCTCCGATTCTCGCTTACAGTCGTCGATGAACACACTGACACGATCAGCGACACAGCCTCCAGGTTATCAGGCTTTCACGGTGGAGACAGCTTCACTGCAAAGCACCAGAGTACAGCTCCCGACTTTGCTTGGTCGTTCTCGGAACTTAACATACTCTCGAGACTCTCCACGCTACAACTCGCGATGCACTCGACGACACACAGAGCACAGCTACCGACTCTTCGGTTCAGTCGTTCCCGGAGCTCAACACGCTCTCTCGACGATGCACTAACCGCGATACACTAAGAGACTCCTTCGGTGAACTCGACGACCCACTCGGCACTCGCTGCCTGGCTGTCAACTCTATCGACTCGAGAACATTCTGGGCTAAACCGGTAAGAATTCGGTCCAGAACGTTCTCCATCCGTCCATGGCATATCGCCAATTTTGTCACGAAATGTCGCCAAATGGACGATTTCTCGCCAAATGTTGCAACCCTGTCATTCCTTGCCGCAACCCTAAAACTGCTTTGCGGGAAAACTATCTTACCGCGTCTGTACATTTCGTAACAATATTTTTCTTTGGAATATAGTTTTCGGTATGACCACTGCTCAGATTTTCTTCAACAGTATTAACAGTTTCTTCAAGCTGTTCTTCGGTTTCAAAAGTAATAGCAATTTAAGAGTTGTTCTTCCGTTTCAATATTTGCGATTTGTTCGCCAGGTAAAAAAGACGATGCTATGCCTCTTCTTGGTTTAATGCCAAACATAGCTTCATAAGGAGTAATCAATCCCGGTGTGGAGAGATGTGTTTGAAAAATAAAAACAACTGTCTTCTCGTTTATTCACAATTAATGCATTTAAGTTTTCAAGGAAAAGTTCACGATTCACTGCAGTATCCATTCATCATAAATTAGGGTATTGGATATATATTTAAGAAACCGTTGCGCGTACCATCAAACCTAGCATAAGACCAGTACCATAACCTAGCATGAACAGTGTTCCAGAGTATAACAAATACATGCTACTTAACCTCAATCGCAGCAGAGCAAAGGATTTGGCGACAGACAATTGCCCCTCTGTTGAGCTCGACTTCTCTTTTCGACCTCAACCACAGTATATCTAAGATTGTCGACATACACCGGTGATAGTCCGAATGTACAAGAATATAACCAAATATTCGGTCTTTCACCGACGCATTTGGTATGTATTGACAATCACCGTGAATGTCTCCAATTTCATTCATTCAAATTTAACATTCTCCAATTTCGGTCCTCCATACATCTTCTATAATACAGTACTTTCTATAGTAAGTATTTATACTTATTATAGAAGTAGTAGAATTGAAGATATTTTTTTCAAAACACACAGTATTAACCATTTTGCTGCTCTCCTTAGATAGAGCACCCAAGAAATTTACAGCAGCAACTTGTTCAACCAAAGGTAATTCGCTTTGCTCAAAAAGCGCCACTAAAGAAGGAAATGGCTGGTGGAATATAAAACTGTTTACAATTTCTTTTAACAACAGCCATGAAGAATTCGAATACGTAAGATAGAAAATAAATGAATTACTTAACAATGGTAAAGCATATGCCAGGCTATCTGCTTTACATGATACAGCAACAAGAGTTTAACCCTTAACTCTCCGTTGGCTCCGCTACGGGCCCTTCCGGCATTTAT